AATTCACTCGATAAGTATCGATGATTCACACCTGCAGTCGATCGAGACGAACTACGATGCATGACGAAAATGATTATGAAATTATAGCAATTATCTGAAACAAAAGAACACAGTTGTTGAGAGATAAAAAAAAAAAATACAAATTATAATGGCAACTGTCTAAAACGAGAAATTAGTATAAAGATAACAATGCAATTTAAGAGCAAAATAAGTACATTAGTATAGATGAACTTGTCTGTATAATTAACAGTATATCAGTTTTGGATACTGTAAACTGATCTAGCAAATAAATGATTTTATAATACAATTATCCGTTTAAAATAAGAAAACTTACAACTCAGTCATGCTCCCAATCAATAACAACATCGGTAAATACATAAATATTTTCATCACACCAATTCATCTTAATCACTTTATTAATAATATCAGTTACTGGAATTATTTTATATGAATTTTGTTTTGCATTAAACAGACCATAGTAATGGTCAAGCCGTTCAATCAAATTTTGTGGAATAACAACTGTCTTTAATCCGTCTGCCAAACTAAGATCAGCACATGGATATTTTTTAACAAATGCATAAAACACGTTGGATAATTTGAAATAAAACATCACATCAGCAAAACATCTCTTTCTTGAATGTACACATTTTAGATTGACAAGTGATACTCGATAGCTAATTGCTTTTCCACCACGAGAATAAGCCTTTGAGTGGTAAGTTTTGAAGCCACGACGGTAGCATGCATAATATTGTAATTGTATAGTTGGATCAAGTAAAATATTTTGTTTGGCACAACATTCAATCAACTTTGTTTGATAATATGCAATCATTTGCATATCCAGATGGCGTTCATCGAATCGTTCGATAATAAAAATATCACTAACCTCGATCGTGTTATTTTCACGTAATGAACGATCGATCAAATGCCATGAAATGTATTGTTCAAGAATATACTTTTTTCCATGACACATGGTTAATGCCAACCCCAAATATGATTCACGAGAAAAACAAGATGTCATTGACAAAGCACCATGACGAATTACTTGTGTTTTTAAATGAGAATGTAAGTGAATAGTAAATAATTCGGATTTGGGACCATATAATAATGATAAATTTTTCAAATATTCCTCGAATAACAAATCAATGTCGTTCAATTCCGATACCGTTTCGTAATGATAAAGTGTACGAATATATATAAAATAATACAAAAAATGTAATGCATATTTATCAGGTAAAAACAAAATACAAAACACAGGTGATATGAATAAAAGAAAATCTCTAGAAGTAAAAAGATTAATAAATGACAAGATAAAGTGAGAAAAACACTAACCTGAAGAGTTTGGTCTTCCAGTGGTTATAATCCATCAATGACATAAATTGATAATTAAAACAATGTGGCAGTACAATTGATATTAAATAATCTGACGCTTCCATGAACACACGAGGCAACAACATCTTGTGCCAGTAACCAATTAAAGTTTTCACATGCCCGCTGCATATCAAATGCATATAGTCAATACTAATTTGAACTGGAAATAATAATATGTCTGTTAAGGGCGTTGGACCTTTAATGCCAATAGTAGTAATATTTAAAGAATTCGATGCTCCGTATCGTCGATAATCATCTATTGTTTTAGGTGGATATTGATCAGGTGAATGAGGATAAAACACTTGTTTTTCAATAGCTTTACCAGTTATTTTGCAATACGGACATGCATTATAACCATTAAATTGTATAATGTTACAATTTAATGCAAGTGCTGGAAGATCGAAGGTTACTAATTGAACTCGTACAATAAATTTAAACTGCTGTTTGTTGATGGCAACTTTATTTTCTTCTGTAAATAATTCTTTAAGTTGTTTGATAATATTTCCCCAAAGAAGGTTTCGATCAGGATGATGACTTCCAAGCCATGCGCCGAAAATCATAGTAGCCTGTTTGTGATCTCTAAGTGGTGGTGGAATCTCACATATCGTAGCTTGAATTGGCCATAAGGATTTACCACCCATTTTAGTAACAGGTGCTCCATCAGTGTGAAGCATGACGGTAATTTGTTTTTGGCCATTTTTGATCGATGTTGTTGAAGATAAATTTTGATATACATCGGCATTCGGTACATCACATGGTAATGATAATTTTGATCGATTTGGATAATCAATAATTACATTACCATACTTTTCGATGGTGCAACGAATTTCATCTTTAATATTATTAATTGTCAATTCACTTACCTTCGAGAAGGGACGATAATTATTGTTCAAAGCACAATTATGTGAACAAGGCATTTGTTGAGGTGTTTTTAAACAGGTAAGACATTCGGCACAATAATAGACGACCTTTTTCGAAATATTCATACCTAAACAAAATATAAGTTATCTAGTCATAGGATATAAAATAAAATGTTACTGACCAAGAATTTTCATAAGGCCTACTATTGTTCTCGGTAGTTTATTATTTTGTGGAAGTAAAGAACGGATGCCTTGTAATAATATACGAGTTTTATTCTTGTCTAAGTTTAATCTACGAGCTAATTTAATGATTATTTCACAAGCATTATGAATTGATAGGAAACTATCAGTATAAACTTTACGTTCATAATTCACGTCGCTTGCACGTATTAATTCATCAAGATCAGCATCGTCGTCGTCGTCGTTGCTTGTGGATTCAGCAAAAGTAATGTTGTTTTGTTGTTGTGAAGCTAAATCGTCTTTTTGAAATAGGTCATGTGATGACAATTGATCATCCATTGATAATGGATACGCCAGGGGGACGTCCATTTTATTGACAGACGTATCATCATCATCACTACTTTTAATCGCGGCAGCAAGGTTTTTTTCACGTTGTAGAGCACGCTTTGCTCGTTGTCTTTCAGCATTACTTTTCGCAAAAAAGACGCGAGACATCTAAAACATGAAATTTTTATGACATCAAATAATAATTAATTCCTTTTTTGATGAATTCAATCATGGAAGAAAGTGATAAAGGTATGAAAAAAATACCGCATCAATGTTTTATCCGATGTAACTAATTTTTTCAATTTCTTTTCGACTGGTTTTCGTTAACTTGTGTTAAAACGACACTCATTTCAGTGAAATATTTTTATCAGGTAAAATGCGATAAAACTCTTTTTACACTGTTCTGATACAACTACATCATTTTTGTTGATAATATCTTAAAATTAATATTTTTTATGTAAAAAACTGATACATTCAACTATCGACCATCTCTCTGTCTATATGTTTCTCATCTTCTGACAAAAAAACACAATAATCGCCATTAAACTATCGCTGTTACCTCGATATTTATGCGACGCTTAAAATCGCAAAAATACACAAGAAATGCTGATATTAATACTGCAAATTAGCTTCTAAAGGGTATAAAATTTATTTTCTATCAAAGTGCACTAATGTGCCATACAAAGTGAATAGAAGAATTAAGGTACTTTGATGAGCTTTCTTCGGTATATTTACCGATATGGGTACCTGTCTAGTTAACATACTGGCATGGGTATCTGAGATAGTACCCACATCAGTAAAGTTACTGAGAATTTTCAAAGTACCCGAACCAGGTACCCTGCTGGAATTTTCTCAGTACATGGGTACCTTGAGCTCAGTACTTTCTCTAGGGCACTTACTCATTTGATACTCGATATGAAATAGGATTAAAAAAATTATCAGAAACGGTTTGATTTATTATATATGTTTTAATATTTCTGACGCATTTAGAATAAAAACTTATATCTTACCATCGTGACATTGAATGTGATAGAAAGGAAATATTATTTGCGTAAGATTTTTGACTTTACGTAAATTGTTTTCATAAGTGATTGTTCATCGTGAGAAGCTAATTGATGAGAATTCCTTCTAATAGATGCATGCTGAAGTTTTGATAATATTGGTTGACTGATGATGGAACAATGACATTTCGATTTCCATGTTCATCAACAGTAGCTGCAAAAGAAATCGTTACAAAACTTATTAATTCTGATTATGAAATCGAAATTGCCTTTTATTTTGCTGGTTTCAAACAAATAACAACAAATTTTATTTCAATTACAAGTGGTCAACTTCAAAATATATTAAGTAAAACAATTGCTGATGGTAAAAGTAACAATGCTCAATATATTCATCGAAGACAAAGTTCATCATTTATCGGAAAATATACGACAAATGTTAATAAAATGATCTATTCCGAAAATCCTAATGCGATTCTATCGGCAATTATGGGAAATTTAGAAGATCAATTTATTTCATTACTAGAACAAGGCAATCGCTAAGTTAAGCTCTATTTTTGTTCGTTGAAATGTAAATTTTATTTAGGTATGAATAGTTTGAAAGAAACAAAATTACAAATGGAACTTTATAACCAAATTTGGTCGTCGAATGATATCCATCCTGATATGTTAACGAAAGAAATCAATAAATTATTTATTTACAATGAGACTGAAACAAGAAAACATAATTTTTAGGATACTTATTTCGATCTAAATCGAACCGAAATGCAAGCGTCATCGGGTTCCGGAAGCATTGGGGCCAAATTTGATCTGTTTGACGTTTTCGGTAGTAGTTTCAGTGGTTCGCAATCATCATCGAGCTCGGCACTGAATAGTTTAGCAACTGCATCGAAAAATGTATTTTCTCTTAAAGAAATTCAGTATGCACTACAGCAGGAGACTATCGAAAGCGAATGGACTGGTCAAAAATGGCTTCCGAAATCATTTGATGTGTACAAACTGGTTGACATTGCAGATCGGCTTCAAGTAGCCATCATTGTTAAGCAATTGATTGCAGATAAATCGAGTGGAGCAATTATTCGAACTGTGAACACAATGAACAAACCAATTGTTGTCACTAGTGGTTCGTCAGCATTGACTGGTGTCGTTCAAATGTATACTAGTAGTGAGTTACCTCCAGCACCGTGGCTTCTATGTGATGGTAGTGCGATATCACGCATCAGCTTTCAACGACTTTTCTCTGTAATTAGGACCAGATATGGACCAGGAGATAACAGAACAACATTTAACTTGCCTGATTTTCGAGGTCGAGTTGCCCTCGGTGTTGATCCATCGCAATTGCGTGTGCAACAACCGACAGTATTGGGTTCGACAGGAGGAAAAGCTCTGCATCAATTGACAGTGGACGAACTACCATCTCACACACACAGCAAAGGCACGCTAAGTACCAGTGCTGCTGATAATCATAACCACAACCTAAATGATCCATCACACAATCATGGCAGTCAAACAGGCGACGGTCCTATGGGTGGATCTGGTCGAGGTATGTCAAGCGGCGGAGGTTCCAATGATTACGCCAGACATACTCACTCAATACCATCAGGTACAACCGGCATAGGCATCGATCCTGTTGGCGACCATGCGCATGAGTTAAATGGCGTTACGGGCTCCGTGGGCAATAACACATCATTTATTACAATATCACCATATCAAACCGTCAGTTATATCATTAACTCTAACTGAACTAATTCTTAACTTACCCTAAAGAACTTTTCAGCTAGTACTGCTGCTTTTGTTTGATAACGTATAAAGTGACTATGTATGTTTGCATAATTTTTAATATTCTATTCAGAAACTTCTTTCAATAAAATATCCTCTTCATATCACCCCAAATCTTTTATTCACTAGTAAAAACATGAAATTTCCTTGTCTCAATGTTGGCAAAAAGGCCATATAAGCGTACATTAACCCCTTCACCGTCAAGTTTTTCTTAAACTATATAGTTAGTAAACTTTTCGAGAAATAACTTTCAGAAATCCACAAACAATGAAGGATAATCCAAAATTTCTGCGGCAAACATGTTTTTTTAATATTTATTTTTAACATTCTTGCGACAGTGTTAAACAATATTCCAAAACCTGTTAGAATTTATTTAGAACATAGTCAAACGTTCTTTTAGAATTTTTGGGAAGCAAATCAAATCTAGAAGAATTTCTGAAAAGACTATATGTATACGTAAACGATTATGCTTGTGCTTACTACTATTATCTAGAGAGGCTGTTAAATCAACGTGAAGATGGTACAAAACCAGACAGACAAAAACAGACACAAAAAACCTTTTAAATCTACTATAGTATTTTAATTACCAGCCATCAACATAAAATTATTACATTATTACCGCTCCTCATAGAAATTGTGCGGTTTCCCTAGCAGAAATGGCCAATAGTTTGACGGATCGTAATAGAAGGCCCGGAGCCTTCTGATGCGGGGACAGTTAGGAGACTTAATACAGTTCACGTGGCAAATACATTTGAAATACTCTCAAGAGAACTCTGTTGTAACCATTCTTATTCTCAAACAAAATAAACTTTTCTCTTTTGCGTTTTTTCGATTTTTGACATATGCGCCGCATTTTTCTCCATGAAAAAGTGTTCAAATCGCAATAAAAAGATGATATTCGAGCTCAACGTCTCCTGGCAAATCAGAATATGTGTATAAAAGTTTTAAAAAAACACTGTCGAAACTTTGAACTACACGCGCTTTATTAGTTTATTAAAAAAATAGAAACGAAAGAAAATTAAAAGCTAATAATATTTACGTACGGACTAGACAGTGAATTGATGTCCGAAGTATGAGAATTTACGCCTTGATCTACTAAAGTACACGCGACAAATTCATAAAATTACCTACGAATTAATATGAGCACTATCCGAATCGATGCGAAGAAACAACTCTATCCTTTTTTAGCCTAAGAGAAATATTTGAAACTGCGAACATCAATTCGTATTTTACGAATTTGTACAAATAACGGCAAAACGAGATGAGAACTATGTGAACTGATGCGAAGAGATGAATCTATCTATTTTTAATCTAATGTGACCGGAAAAAGCAACTCAGGAAAATAAGAACGAAAAGAATAGTAACATGTGACTGGTACGGGTGTTTTAACGAATTGTCCCTACATGTAATTACAGTCGAGTTATTGTAGCATTTCTCGGCATCTTTATGGGTGTGTTTTTTCGTCAACAAGCTCCTCAGATATTAGTAGAAGGCCCATTCAAACACTTTTATTCATCAAGGCATGCATCCTTAACAATAACGTGCAAGAAAACTGATTTCTTTTTATTTCTGGGAAAAACTTGATCATTCGGCGTTATTCCGTCACGCTTATTTAAACTATACCTTGGCGTTTTTTTAAAACGCAAATAAGCGCGATGGATAGAGCGCAAAAAACTGATTTTAGAGCATCAATTTATTAAATCAGAATATGCTTATTGTCTTATTGGAATAAATTACATAGCATTTTCTTGATGGAATAACGTTCAACGGAGTATCACCGTTACAAATGCAAATAAATTTCTGAATCTGAGATAAAAATTGGTTGTCTTGGAATGGTTAGACAGCCTATTCTGCACCGCTCCAGAGATGACGACAGGAGTATAAAACCGCATTTTGTCTAGGCAAAAAATTAGACATCAAAATTTGATAACGAATTTACACTTCTGCCGTATCTGAGTTACATCTTTACAGAAGTATTTTTTTCGGAAAATCTATTGCACTAAAGTAAGAAAAAAATACGTTTTTATATACTATCGACAACGCTCTACAACATGGTCATCTTGATTCTGCTTGATTTTGTGGTCACACTTCGCCAAAAAGATCTACCGTTACGTCGACTGGCCGAATAAGAACTTGAAATAAACAACGAATTGGGAACTTATCTAAAGCACACAAAGCTCATGTTATCAAAAACTTAATTAACAATTAGAAGAACTGAAAATAAAGGTTTGGTACTATTAATTAAACTCGTACGAGTTCAAAACAGCCTCCCCAGTCCTCCTATACTATGTTACAATATAACACTCATTTGGACTCGTAACGAGTTCAAAACAGTTTCCCGGCCTAAAAGAAGACCTTAGTATTTTTCATCTCGTAACGAGTTTAAAGACTGCCATCCGTAGGCATTTTCTCCGTTTTCAAATATTCTAGCTATTCCGTATTCCAGCTTATCAAATATGAAACGCTCTGTAGTATTCCGAAAGGATTTATAGAAAACCCTGGAACAAAAAATAGTTTTTAACTTTTTCAATTTCATAATAACGTTTTGCAAGCAACATTAATCATAACACAAAGTTTTCAACTTATTCTTGTGTTTTTGAGTGATTTGTGAATTTTTTCACATTAAATCGAAACAGCGTCGAAAGCCTAACCTTTATAATCTCGATTTCACCAGGTTTTCGCATTCTTTTCCAAAACTAAACACTCTCGCGAGATTCAGTACGTCCAATGACGTACCTTCCATGGTGCAAATAAAAGACCAAATGGTCTTTTATTTCGTCTGGCAACTCAAAACTTTGAGGGTGGTCTTCTATTGAAGTCAACTTTTTCCTCACCGTCACCATTCATGACTAGGATTATCACAGTCATTTTTATACGCGAATAAAGATCTTTCAGATCCGTTCTGATCCGAATAAGTTGAAGAGGAGTCGGAGTTATTTTCACCATATTGAGTTAGACGTACGAGCGGGAGAAGATGGTCCTCCGATGACATTATTTGACTTTTAGCAAAAATTTATATTTAACAAATAATTCTTGCTCAATTCACATTCGTTATACTCGTTCCAAACACACGTGTGTGACAAGAACGTGCGAGGAAAATGGCATTTTTTCCTGTCCGTTTCGAAGAGAACTTCTAGGCAGTCTTTTGTAACAATGACTGTTTATTAAAGGGGGAAAAAACCTTTTCAGCGTTTGATATCAATAAAAATGTATGCATGATCAAGTAATTTCTTTACGCTATTTTTTGTTGACATTCTTACGTAGTAATTTTTTCAGAACTTAGGAAAGAGAATAAGGTGTTATCGTATCATCGGTAGTCTACCAGTGCAAAGGTTTTGTTTGACAATTGTCTGTTGAACAAATCACACAATCAAATTAGGAAGTAGTGTCCAAGTTTTCAGTACAATTTCGATATTTCCATTCGAATTACATTTTGAATTTCGAGTTTCAAATTTGAACTAGACTTTTACTCGACAGTTATTTCAAAATTCAGCTACAATCTTTCTCTTTCACGTTGATACAAGTTCAGTATATGTATACCTCTTGCTTCTTGTCGTGAGCGGTGACGGCAATTGAAATCCTTCTGTAAATTGACTCGTTTCATGTTTATCCCAAAAAAACCGTTTGTTTGTCGGCGACCCTCCGAAGTACCATAACAAAGCCATGGGACTGGTAGAATACCGATTATGCCATAATACCTTATTCTCTTTTCTAAAAGTATTATGGCATGATCGGTCCTTTTATTTATCGGTCCTTTTTTTCCTTTTCTGAAAAAATCACTACATAAGAATGTCAACAAAAAACAGCGTAAAGAAATTACTTGATCGGCTATTCATGTATACATTTTTATTTATATCAAACGCTGAAAAGATTTTCTTCCTCTTTAATAAACCGGTCATGGTTACAAAATACTTCCTAGAATATGTTCAAACAACAATGTTTTCGACGGAAGGGCATATTTAGTGGTTAAAACTCTACCTAAAGTGTGCTGTCATTGGGGTAAAAACCACAATGAATACAGACTATATATAAAACAAGGCATGAGCTGCACTGCTAACATCAGTATAAATTAATTCGTTTTTTCTTCACATACAAGACACGTCGCTTAAGGGCCTGCCCCCCCTCAGAAATGGTGATTTTCGGTCACAAAATCGATTTTGAGATATACACATGGAAAGATAGCTTGAAGTGTCTACTTCCAGAATCTGTATTGCTTTTGGTTACATAACTGATTTTTCGGGGATTTTGAGCAAGTTTTCCAAGAGCCTCGAAAAAATGGGTCTTTAAATAATGGCTTTTTCCTGGATACTTATGCAATTAAAATTTTTT